AGCCAGATTGAATCAAAGATGCTGTTTATTTTCTTCTGTGTGTTGCACTTGCACTTGCTGGTACTTTCCGAGCCAGTCGGAGTGCTGTAGAAGGAAAACAGTGGAGAGAAGAGAGCTGTACGGCAACAAGAAAACAAAATCAGCGACGACTCAGACAAACTGTACAACTGTATGGCTTCTTACTCAGAAGGTGGCGGTTGTCCGCGCGCTAGCTCGCTCACACGCTGGTTAGTTTAGCTGGCGTCGATGGCTGCCGATAATGACAATTCGATGGGATACTCCGATAAGGCTGGTCCGTTGTTACGACTGCTGCTCATAACCAAAGTTGCATCACTGCCAAAACTAGAACAACACTGATTGTTTTTGCTGTTTTGCGTAGGCAAAGAAGCCTTCTAGTATTGCGTCACCGTAGTCATTCACAGCTGACGTCAAGTACTGGAAAGGAGTGCGCTACTCGGGCAACAGCGTCCCCTGAACTTTTACATTGATTTGCCTCATTTGACTCATTTGAGCTGTCATGAATCTGAGTCGTTCAATTAATGTTAGTTAATGTAAGTTAATTGGCTTATAAAACAGAAGTAAAAATTAACAAAAGCTGTTGTGTAAAATGTCTGCGACATGTTCGCAAAGTAAATTAAAAAATTAGTTTTACTGGGAATAATAAAATTTAAATTTTTGCTTAATTTTTAATTTAACTTTATAAACTAAAAAAGAATCTGAGACCGAGATTCTGAGATTAAAAGTAGAAGTAGAATAAAATTGGATTCTGGTTCGAAAATCGTCCTCCAGTCACAGAAGACGTTACCGAAATCGGTGGCGCCATCCAGCGTACCTTCTAGTGCTTTCCATTGTGAACAGATTACACGTGCTTTCTCTCTTACACGCCTTTTCTCTCTTCAGTTGCCGATAATCGTCTGGTCGCCTTTGTTGTCGATAGTTCTCCTCAATCACAAAGACTTTACACCGATCAACACTCTTCACCTAGTTCTTGAATCGTAGCGATAATCAACTACAATGGCAGCAATTCACGCTCTGAATCCAAAGGCCGAGGTGGCTCGTGCCTCGCAAGCGCTCGCCATCAACATCGGCGGCGCCAAGGGTCTTCAAGAGGTGCTTCGAACCAACCTCGGACCGAAAGGAACCATGAAAATGTAATTCTTTGACTTCTCTTAAAGTAGATGATAACCTTTTTTCTTCTTTAGGCTGGTAAGCGGCGGTGGGGAGATTAAGATCACCAAGGATGGCAATGTTTTGCTTCACGAGATGGTAACTGTTTTGTGCCGGCAGCCGGCTCTTGTTATTGTCGTTTACTAACGTGCTTCATTACAGCAAGTCACGCACCCAACGGCATCGCTGATTGCCAAGGCATCCACGGCCCAGAATGACGAGACTGGTGATGGAACCACTTCGACGGTGTTGATTATCGGCGAACTGCTCAAGCAGGCGGAGTATTTCATCCAGGAGGGCGTTCACCCGCGTGTCATTGCCGACGGTTATGACCTGTCCCGAAAGAAGGCCATTGAGTTCCTCAACAAGTTCAAGTACCAACCAGAGACGATGGACCGCAGTCTGCTGCTCAGCGTTGCCCGGACTGCTCTGAAGACGAAGGTGGCTCCCGAGCTGGCGGAACGCCTCTCTGACATTTGCGTCGACGCCATTGAGTGCATTCGACGGGAGGGCAAGCCCATTGACCTGTTCATGGTTGAGATCCAGGAGATGCAGCATAAAACGGTGGACGACACCAAACTGGTGAAGGGCCTCGTTCTCGACCACGGTGCTCGCCACCCTGACATGAAGAAACGCCTGACCAATGCCTTCGTCCTCACTTGCAATGTTTCGTTGGAGTACGAAAAGACGTAAGTGTATCCCTTTTTTTCCTCCACTGTTCCTCCACCAGTTCAGCACTAAACTTCATTCTACCCTCCAGAACCGTTCACTCTGGCTTCTTCTACAAGACCGCCGAGGAGCGTGAAAAGATGGTCGCTGCTGAGCGAAAGTTTATCGAGGCCCGAGTGCAGAAGATAATTGACCTGAAGAACAAGGTCTGCGCAGAAGACCCCGAGAAGAGCTTTGTTGTCATTAACCAGCAAGGCATTGATCCGAATTCGCTCGACATGCTCGCTCGCGAGGGTATTACCGCTTTGCGCCGTGCCAAGCGCCGCAACATGGAGCGCATGACGAAGGCCTGCGGTGGGCGGCCGATGAACAGCCTCGACGACCTGACGCCTGACTGCCTTGGTCACGCCGGTCTGGTCTACGAGCACACCCTGGGCGAGGAGAAGTACACCTTCGTGGAGGAGCTGAAGAACCCCGAGTCGGTGACCATTCTCATTCGCGGACCGAACAAGTACTCACTCTTGCAGATCAAGGACGCCATCTACGACGGCCTGCGAGCCATCAAGAACTCCATCGAGGACAAGTCGCTGGTGCCGGGTGCTGGCGCTTTTGAGGTGGCACTGCACGCAGAGCTGCTCGCCTACAAGGGCCAAGTGGAGGGAAAGGCACAGCTGGGCGTGCAGGCCTTTGCTGACGCACTGCTGGTGATTCCGAAGATTCTCGCCTTCAACAGCGGCTATGATCAGCAGGACGTGATGATCAAGCTGCTGACGGAGTACAATGCCACCAAGGCGCCCGTCGGCATTGATCTCAACACCGGCGAGCCGCTGAATCCCGTCGAGGCGGGCATCTTTGATAACTACCGCGTCAAGAGGCAGCTCATTTACTCATGGTAAGTTCTCTTAAGATTTAGNACAATGCCACCAAGGCGCCCGTCGGCATTGATCTCAACACCGGCGAGCCGCTGAATCCCGTCGAGGCGGGCATCTTTGATAACTACCGCGTCAAGAGGCAGCTCATTTACTCATGGTAAGTTTTTTTAGGGTTTAGCTTTTTAGAATTGGACATCTTTATTAATTATATTGTTTTGTAGCACTTCAATCGCATGCAATCTGCTTCTCGTGGATGAGATCATGCGCGCCGGCCTGACGTCGCTGAAGAACCCCAATTCGGCAACAGCTGGCATGCAGTAGAGCGAGAGAGTGCCGCAAATGTAAGGAAAAAGTGCTGCAACAGACAAAATGCTGCAGTTGTACTCAAGACTCTGTGGGGACTCTGTCTGGTGTCGGACCGCTTCTTAATCCCTCTATTCTGCTTTTTAAATTATTTGTCTCACCGAAAAGGCGCCCGCCCATTCTCTACTCCTTCTCTCGGCCCAAATGCTTATTCTGTATTATTGAATGAATGACTGATTGATTATTGCAACTAAAGGCACAACACGAAGCATCGAAACTGGCTGATTTCACTGATTGCCAATCGATTGAATGTCGACTATCAATGGGATCATTAGGAGGATGTCCGCTCTCATCACTGGCCCCCGCTCATTGTCACTCATTTCAAGGTGGATTGGTGGTGGCGGCGGCGATCACTTGCGATAATGACTAAACTGGAAGGACACTTGGTGAGTGAAACTTTGAGGGCTTTAAAGTGCGCTCATTTTGAGTGGTGGTGAATGAATCGCTTCGTCCAGGCCTGCCGCCAGGCGATGGTACGCCACTTGAGCTGAGTGCGGGCAAAGATCACTTTGGTCTGCAGGCGACGAGCTCGGTGGCGGAGGTAGCGACGCATCCACCAGTGCTCGCCGCTTCGAAGGTACATTTTAGAGAGAGAAGGTGTCGATTAGGGCAATTTGAGGAGGTCGAGATTTGGGTAGTCAAAAAGAAAGTACGCTGCTAATTGACAGCGAATGATGATGATGATGAGTAGACTTGCTGCTAGTTGAAGGAACAACAACTTGTAGTGGTTGATGATGATGATGCTTCACAGTTTGGAGGTGAACGCTAATGGTGCAGCTTACCGTCGCCTGATGACCAATTCGATATGCCATTGTTCTTAACATTGCTCTTCGCTTGCTTTCGAAAAGTGTTTCGGTGTCTGGCAGTGATGGTGGTGGTGCATTGGCAGTGATCTTCATTTCGTACACTATCCTCCACTGACAGCTGACTTTCTGCCCTGACAAATTCTACCCTGATCAAACACAAGTCTAGATGTATGTTTGTGCAATGTGCTGTATGTTGTGCCTTCCTTCCTTCGATGATGACTCTTCACTTCGTGTGACCGCATGCCGGCATTGATAATGCCCAGAGCTGAGGATGGAAGCCGCCGCCGACTGACTGACGAGTGCACCATCGGTGTCGACGCATTTGGTACTCTGACTGTTGGTAGAAGGTGCCACCACTTACTATTATTCTCTTTGCCATGGAACGAAGTGCCATCGTCTACGAGGACTTGCCTTCAGCCACTGCGGCGGCAGCAGCAGCAGCAGCAGCAAACGCCTCCTCCTCCTCCTCCTTCTTAAGCTGCAGGACGACTCGCGGCACCGTCCGCAGCCACTCTACAGGCAACTTTCGCACAAAGAGCAACTCCAGCCTCTTTGTCATCTGCCAGCGAAGTGAGGACAGTGGTGATGAGGTGCTAGATGATGATGATGATGAGTGTCGACAGCCACTGGAGCCGAAGAAGGGTGGCCGTGACGCTGAAGGCGGCAGTGGTTCGTCCTTCCTCTGTCTTCCACAGCAGCCACGAACGGCGAGACGAGCCTCACTGGCCGCTCAGTTGTACAGCAGTCTCGCCCGAAGACGGTCCATGTCGCGACTGACGCCGCTCTCCATCTCAATGTCCTCCTCACACTCCGGACAGCCACTCGGAGAGGGACTTCAAGAGGAGGAAGAGGACGAGGATGAAGGAGGAGTTGAGGACCAGGACGAAGAGGAAGAGGAGGACAATGTGGACGAAGAGGACGCCAACAACAATCCACTGGTGGAGGTCCACAGCCCGAACCACCAGCTGACGACGAACACCTTTGAGCGGACGCTAAAGATCACGCCGTCCATTGTCCGCCGACTGCCCATTCGCAGCGGCGACAAGCGCTTTCCGGGGCGCATTCGCAAGCGGGTTATTCACAAGAATGGCAACGTCAACCTGTCTCCGGAGCACGTGGACAAACGCCACCGTCGCTTCATGCAGGACATGTTCACCACCATGGTGGACATTCGCTGGCGGTGGAACCTGCTCGTCTTCACCATGGGCTTCCTCATCAGCTGGTTCAGCTTCGCCGTCGTCTGGTGGCTGATTGCCTTCTCCCACTCGGACTTTGAGCATCCAGGCGACCTCAGCTGGTCGCCCTGCGTCAACAACCTAAACTCATTTGCCAGCGCCATTCTCTTCAGCATTGAAACGCAGCACACAATCGGTAATGATGGGTTTTAATTTTAGGAAAAGTCACATCATTTTTTTCTTTCTCTCCAAGGTTACGGTTCCCGATACACCACCGAAGAGTGTCCTGAGGCGATGTTTGTGATGTGCCTGCAGTCCATCACCGGGGTGATGATTCAGTGCTTTATGGTGGGCTTTGTCTTCGCGAAGCTTTCCCGACCTCAGAAGCGCTCCCAGACGCTGATGTTCAGTCGGCATGCCGTCACCTGTCTGCGAGACGGTAAGCTCTGTCTGATGTTCCGAGTGGGTGATCTGCGCGACAAGTCGCACATCATCGGCGCGGCCATCAGTGCCCAGTTGATTCGTCGAAGGGTGACCGAAGAGGGCGAGGTCATACCGTACTACCATCAGTCGCTGTCAGTTCGATTTGATGATGCTGGCACTGATCTCTTCCTCATCTGGCCGGCGGTGATCATTCACGAGATAAACTCGGAAAGTCCCTTCTACATGGTAAGTGATTGACACTGACAGCTTCTCTCAAACCGGGTAAAAAGTATCTTTATTTAACCTCTTATCCGCTTGGGAGTACAGCATTCAGTGTAGATGCCAAAAGGGCCACCAAAGATGAGAACAAGGTAGAATGCAAAGAGAAGGGAACAGAGAAACCAGCCATAGGGACTTCTATTGAAGATGATGTACATCCGCTTGTACTCGATGCCATCGATTATCTGCCGTTTCACAGATTTTGATTGAATCCACCTGCTTGATTGCATTGTTCTCGTTGAAATCAATCCGCAGACGGGGCACAGGTCGCTGACGTTCCACTGGCGCCATCGATTGATGCACTGCTCACAGAATGCGTCTTGACAGTTTTCTAGTAAGCCATAGGTGATAATCACTTGAGAACAGAGGGCACAGGTTGGTTTATCAGTGGGCACATAGTTTTCAACGGTCATTTCCAGCTGACATGTGTTGTCCATCCTCAGGGAAGTCATGTCGACCACTGATGATCATACATACACACACAAACACTCAAAGTCGAAATCGAACTCACACACTGCCAGCAAAACTGTAGTCGTCATGTTGGCCTATTGTTGCGGCCACTGTCACTACTGTCGTTATTACTAGCACTGATCTGATTACCCATTTACGTATATTTTTGCGTTGCCTTTCCCTTTTCCGTGTCCTCTCTCATTTCTCTTCTCTCTGCAAATTCAGATGAACTGCGAGGCAATGATGAAGGAGAAATTTGAAATTGTTGTCATCCTCGAGGGCACCGTCGAGTCTACTGGCCAATCAGGTACAGATATTAGTTAAATGGTCACTGCTGTTGTTCTTGTTGACTATCATTATCACGCTAACCTACATTCGCCAATCGACCCACACAGTGCAAGCCCGTACATCGTACCTTCCCGCGGAGATCCTCTGGGGACATCGCTTTGAGCAGCTGGTGCAGTACCGCAACGACTCGGGCGAGTTCACCGTCGACTACAGCAAGTTCAACAACACCTTCCCGGTGGACATTGCCACGTACAGCGGCAAGGAGTTCCACGAGGACCTCCTCCACCGGGAGCGACAGAGGCAGCACCAGTACGGCACTCCGCCCACCTCTCCGCCCACCTCTCCGCCCACCACCACCGGCAATGGCCAGCAGTACAGCACCGGCGGCAGACCGAGCATTCCGCCGCCGCCGCCCAGCCAACTGCTCACTGAATCGCAGCGAGAGCGCATCAAATTCTATGAGCACTAAACTACTGCACTTTTCAGCCACTTCTGTAGCTCCCCTCCCACCGAACACCACCTTCTTTTTGCAATAAACAACATGTTCATGATAAATATTTTTTTATAACAAAAATGGTTAAGGCACTTAAATAACTGGCAACTATGCGCACTAATCAAAGAAAGTGTTAATCTTCTCTGCCACGTGATCAGGATTATACTTGATGTACTTGTGTGGATTCTTCGTGAAGGCCACCTTCTCGTACTTGTCATAGAAGAGATTGTACTTGGAGACTACTATGCGAATGTTCTCATCCTTCAGCTCCTTCCTCAGGTCCGGATCAGGTATGGCGTAGTTCATCTGTGTGTTGTATATTGCCTCAAACTCCTTATTGAAACTACTGAACTTGTCCTTAATCATCTGTCGGTCTTTGTCCTTCAGGCGGAAGCTGCTGCCGCCCGCTGCAGACAGACCAATGTTCATTGACTGCGAGTGAGGTAGTGTGCTGGCGTAGTGCTGCGAGGCGCCCGTTCGCTGGTTCATTGGATTGTCCATCACGTGAATGGTCACCTTGTTCCAGCTATCAAAGTACTTGCGCTTGTAGCTGCCAATGTTATCCTCGTAGACGGACTCAATTTCAGCGCATCGCGGATACAAGGAGACAATCTCCAGCAGCCCACTCTTTCGCAGTGTCTTCAGAATGTAGTAGTTGTTGTTCAACTTAAAGATCGCCTTCAGTGTTTCGTCGTAATTGTACATTTCGGACTTTTTCTCGATCGTCAAACTGAGACCTGTAAAAGAGAAAAATGGTTATTAAATAAACTTATTTTCTGAAAACGACTTACTTGTCAGCACGCGAAAGATGTATTGCGCAAAGGCGAACCGATTCTTGTCGGGACACGCCTCCATGGCCTTCATATCAGTGACAGTGACCACTCGCGAGAGAATGTCCAGGTAGGACTTGAGATGCACCAGAAAGAGCATCACATTACTCGTCAGCTCGTGAACAGTACCGTCTTTGGGCACCTTCTGCTGGGGGTCACTTTTAATGTGCTCAATGAACTCCTCCAGCGACTTGGAGATGGTCGTCTGCAGAGTCACCGTCAGCGAGTGCAGCTTCGAGTTGACCTCCGCCTCACAGCCGTCAAGCAGCAGGTCAAAGCTGTGTCGCATGTTGGCGTGAAAGCGAAGAACGGGCAGCAGGCACAGAGCCGAGGAGAAGTCCTTTGTGGTGAGGCATCGCTTGACGCGCAAGGACAGTGACTCGCCCTCGTGGTACACAGAATCGAGCGCCTTCATGACGAGGCGACTGAAAATCTTTCGCTGGACATTCTGCGGAATGATCGATTCGAGTAGCTTCAACTCAAGTTGCATCAACTTGAAGAGGCCAGTCACCGAGGTGACGTAGGAGCCAATCTCTCGCTCTGAAACGGTCGTTTCTGAAGCGTCTGAAGTTGGTTGGATGTTACTGGCAGTCTGCTGAAACTTGTAGCCCTCCTTAGTGGCACTACTACTCAGCATATCCATGCCCACATCCTGCAGGCGACGCATTAAACCACCCGACTGCTGTTTGCTCGCCGAGTCTGGCATCACTGATGTACGGCGAAACTGCAGGGTGTCACTCTTTCCGAGGTGAAGATTCCGTCGACCGCCAAGCAGTGGGCTAACGTTGACGCCCAGATCACTGCCGGAGTTCACTGCAGGAAGACTGTTTGTTTTGAGGTGTTGGCGAAGGGTGTTCAGTGACTTAAGGAGAACATCAGAACGAATGGAAGAGTAGACGCTTATAAAGTCATCGTTGCGGTTCAGACAGAGCCAATCGGAGAGTAATCCTGGTGATGAATAATTGAAAGAGATTAGAGATGTCTAATTGGCTTGGATTAAGAAATCACTTACTCAGCTCATTGCGACTTTTTTCCGGTAGAATGTCGGAAATGTTTCGTTCAATCACCTGTGATGTGGCTTCTCTTTGCGACTTTTCAGGTGACTTTTGATTGTTATTATCCGACTCCTTTTCCCGAGAACTGGTCACTAAGTCGATGATAGTCTTGATGGGCAATGGTGAGCTGTGCCTTGAAAGTATCGATCTGAACTCTTTTTCAATGTTTGTTCCGCCCTTTTCCAGCAGTGAACTAACATTCATCATCTCCGGGCTCTCTGGATTATTTTCTAAGAAGTAGCGCACTGCCTCGGTAAGGCGATCCAGCTCCCGAAGGTACAGCTCAAAAGAGGTTGCTCCAGGTCCGCTGATGATCGTAGACTCCACTTCGCCGGCGACGGTGTAGAACTTGATTACATAGTCAAGACGGGCTCGACTAGAGGTGATGTTCTCCTGTTGTTTTTGCAGGTTGTTTGTCTCCTTGTACACCGGCTTGACCGTTTCCTCTAGCTTCTTCAGGCGATCATCAAAGTGAGTCAGTATTTCGCACATCTTGCCGCAGTTTTCATTGCTGCCGTTGAGCAGCTTTTTCAGCTTTTCGACACTTCTCGTCGCCGACCTCAGCTTCTTTTTGTCGTCCTCGATGTCCATTATTGACGGCATGAGGAATGTAGTGTTTGTTTTTCAGACTAAAGATGCAAAAGTTATTTAGAAAGGTGTGGCTAGTGCACTTTGAGTAACTCCGAGCAAAATGAACTTACTTTGATTAGAAACAATTTAGTGTGATGTTGATTTCATGCCCGTTTTAATGTTTATAATTTAGGTGTAAGCTCTAAAGCTGCATAAACTCTTCACTCGGGCGTTTATCTCAGCAAATAAAATATGACAGGAATCCTCAAAATTGCAGTGTAACAGTGCAGGGATAAAATCAAAACAAACAAGTCAGCTCGTTAAATAGTTTACAGGTTTCCCCACCATGTGTCGCCATTGTCGGTTTAAATTTTTTGTTTGAATTTCAAACAGAATCATCAAGAACTCATCACAGAATTACCAAACCCAGTGAAATAAGCCAAGAATAAATACTTGAACAATTGTTTGAAGTTTATTTAGAATAAAAGAGAATGTACAGCAAAGGTGATGTGAGAAGAGGAAAGGGATCAAATTGGTGGTAGTGGTGAAAGGTTTGCAAAACACAGCTTTAGGAAAAGAATAATCATCTGACTCAAAAGAGTGTGTGTTTATTTATAGTACAGGTGAAGAGGTGAGAGACATGGGAAGATATCAGTGCAATGGGAGAATGGCCAGTGACTGGCCCACGTATGTACAGTAAAGTGGTGGTGGTGGTGAAAGGAGTAATAAATATAATGAGAAGGTGGGTTGGCGATAGAAGCAACGGTGATACTGGAGAGAGAGAGAGAGAGAGAGAGAGAGAGAGAGAGAGAGAGAGAAAGAGAGAGAGAGAGAGAGAGATTGTAGAGATATGTTCTGACTCGTGGGAAGGTGGTATGTGCGACTCGGGCCGACCTGAGAGGGTCGATCGAGTGATGGGAAATGATGGTGAAAAGGGGATCACCACTGATCAGTGATCACCAGCGAACAAGTTGAACTGGTGCTCACTGTACCAGTCCAACTTGTTCAGGTGTGTGTGTGTGACTTAGATTGGGCCCACGGTAAAGGACATGAGAGGGCGGGGAGGATGAGGCGAAAATGTGAAAGAGAGAGAGACGGAAAGAAAGATTAACAGAGAGCAACAACAGCAACAGCAACAAATGAATGAAAAAGGAAGCCAGCAGTTAGGGATTAAGCGAAAGTAGTAAAAGCAATTCTATCAATCATTGCTTCCGCCGGAAACGCCGGTGTAAAAGAGGAAGAAAAGTCATATAGGAGGGAAGGGGGAAAAGGATAATGAAGATGAGGTGGGACATGAATGGACTCTGCGCAGTGGTATGAGCAGCTGTTAGGTACTGTTCCGCGGCTGTGCACTGGCCGCAGAGGGAGGTAATACTGATGCACTGGCCATCTGACTGGCCGCCGGGGCAGACGACGTCGACGTGGCCATGTGAGTATTGGAAAGAGAGGTGGGCGAACTGGCCGTCACGCTGGAGGAGTTGTTGTTGCTGCTGCCCACTACCACGCCAGGGCCAGGAACCGCCCCAACAAGGTGATTGCTTAAGATTATGGTGTTGTTATTATTATTATTGTTGTTGTTGTTGTTACTGCTGCCGCTGTTGATGGTATTGTTGTTATTACTGGTGGTAATGTTATTGTTGTTGTTGTTGATGGTAAAGTTTGCCTGACCGGTGAGGCCCAGTGCCGGAATTGGTCCTGGACCGGTGAAGACGGGGTGGTGATTGGAAACGGCAGTGCCGTTGCTGTTGACCGACGTCAGCTGGACCGGTGGTGGCGGCGCCGTGGTGATGCAACTGTTGCCCACCGTACTGATGGCCAGAGTGCGGTTCTCGGCGCCGTAGATTTTGGTCGCTTTCTTGGCAATGTTTGACAGCATCTCGAGGGAGTCCTTGTGGGTGGACTTTAGCGACTGCAGCCATTCCCGGAGGCCAATTTCATCCTGCAAAAAACAGAAAACGGTCATTAGTCAGGAAAAACACCAGCTCTATTGTAGAGTAAACACAAACCGTATTGGTGAGTACAATGCGAGCATCCTTTTCTCTTTCCATGCCCTTCATTTTGAGGACAATCGTTTGTTCGCCCTTCACTTGCACGTAGTCAGAGCAGATGCCCTCGATTTGGTCCATAAAGATGAGCTGTGTAAAAGATGAAGGTAATATTTGTAATATTAAAAACAAACACTCTAATTCCACCACGAACCTCTGGTTTAGTGCTGGATGAGTCCGAGTGCAACTCCAGTCGATTGGGATACAGCTTGGCGTATCGGTTCTGCCAGGCACTGGCAAAGGGTCCACCCAGTTTCTTGATGTAGCCATGCAGAATGCAGTCGCTCTCTTTTTCATCTTCAAACTTGTTCTTTAACTTGGCACGCTTTTTCAGCTCAATCTTATCCGTCTCCGAGTTGATGGCGTCGTAGACCGTTTCAGAAATCTCCTGCTGCCACCGTTCGCTGATCACAACGGGAAAGTGCTTGTACAGGTCCTGGTCGCTGTCACTCAGTTTGATGCCTTTGGTGTCCTCCTCGTCAAAAGAGCCAATGTCAAAGGCGTCGGCGGCGTTCACTTCACCTCGCGGTGGAATTAAGGGCGGTGGGTACTTCTGCAGGTACACCAACTGCCAGTCGATGCCCTTGAAGAAGGGGTGCTCCTTCACTTCGTCAGCTCTGTTGAGAGGGAGGAAAGGGTGTGTAAGTTGAGAATGTTTGAGCACTACATGACAGTTCAACGAGACTTACCCTCTTCCTCGACAGCCGAGTCGCTTGTCGACATCTCGATGAAGCAGTCCCTCGAGAAGTGTCCTAAGCTCAGTTGAAAAAGAATCCGGAAGTTCGACGTTCTGCGGAAGAGAAGGCTACCGATAATCAAAGCCACTTGGCTAGTATAAGCAGAAGCTGGGACGGCACTCAATCTGCACACTACCATGCACACCAGTGCAGGCAAAGAACAGGGACAAGGGCGTGGTGGAACAGACAGACAGGGGACACTGAGTGGGCGGATGAAGTGGTCGGAAAAAGGAAATCGGGAACATGGATGGCCAGTGATACTGTGTTTTAGACAGCAAAAGTGCTGCAAAGGCAGCACCACACAGCAGACACGCCGACACTGACAAACTAATTGCCATGCAGTTGTTGTCTCTAATGAGATGAGTGAAAGAGTGAACGGAGGATTGACCAACACGGCCGAGTAATTACCGCTAATGACCCATTCACTTTTTAGAGTTCTTTTTGGACAACGCTCGGGCACTGCCTTCCTCACCACTCTCTCAGTTAGTGTTTCCATCAGTTGTGACCACCATCACCAGAAAAGTGTTCCCTACTTCTAAACAGACAAACACACACACACATACACAACCAGAGCCATCCAAAGACACCTCCCTCACTACGGTAGCATGCCATGCCACTTGAGGAGCACCAACTTACCATTGTCAACGTCATTCGGTCGATCTCATGCTTGTCCTTTGTTTTGTGCTGGCGAAATGGACTGTGCCTGCGGAAAAGGATGAAGGGGGAGAGGAGAAAAAGAAAAAAGAAGAAAGGTGTCCATTAGTGAGGGAGGTACAAAAAAGGGAAGATGAGTGAATGAGTGAGTGAGTGAAGAGCCACAGCAAATATGAGCAACTCTAATTGTGGCCTAATTGAGGCAGATTCAAGTGGTAAGCACTAAGCAAGAGACCACTGCTCAACAGACAGACACTCTCACAACACACACACACACACACACACACACTTTCACTCTTTCTCTCATTCCTTGTTCGCCGAGTGTGTTTAAGGCACACAGACACAAACACTTGCTCTTCAATTTACTGCAACACTTTTGCATCCCATTATAAATAGCCTACTCTATAGAAGAAAAAAAAGTAGAAACTTTACTTTACTGGATGACTGCGTCCCAAAATAGATACAACAACATGACTGCACACACACTGCTACTGTTCATATTCTATATCTGCCCCTTTTATCAGCGCTCACCACTGTGTGTGTGCCCACTGACGGACATCGACGTCATCAATAAAGTGGGCGCACAAAGCAAAGACACATTAGTTTAGGTAGGTTATTTGAAAAGAAAATGAACAACGGCAAATGATGAAAAACGGGCAAAGGCCACTGAGTTTATATCTGTTCATAACTAGCAAAACTGATTTTCGACTACTTTTTAGATCTGCTTTTAGCTTCCCTGCAGTGATTTAATCAAAACTGTTTTTAGGACCTGTGCATAAATTTTCAATTAAGCCCTCAAGTAAATGAATATAAGAATATACAATTTCCATAACGGTTACTTTACCCAAAAATATCCTCTTTTTGTTGGTTCAAACTCCAACTTTTAGGGAACTTTGGCAAGTTGCTACGACGATAGAGCGAGATGAAATGGAAGAAAGAGGGAAAAAATGATAGAAAGAAGTAGAAAAAAGTTAAATTATCTCAAATTAGTAATAAAGTTAGTAATAAGTAACATTGAAAGAAAAAAAAGATAGATAGAGAAAGATTGACAATAATGAGAAAGTAGTGGTTGTAACAAAGCAAATGACACACAAAACTTGCAGCCAATTACACTGATTCATGTGCACTCTTATCAGATTAAAAGTGCAGTTGTAAGAACAAGGTAAATGAAAGTATAAAGTGGTGATTTATAAAACATGCGTTTTGTTTAAAAATGTGAGCACTTATGATAAATTAATTTTAAGTATTAAAGTTAAAATCAATTTTTAAAAGTGAATAAAGGAATACAATGTAGACAGTTGTTTACAAGTAGTCCCTTTTAAACTCATGTGACAGATTGTCTATAAACAGACGCGTGAAAAGAGTGAGCATGAACGAGTTTCAATTTAAATAAAAAAGACAATAGATAAAAAATTGACAGCACAAAAAAGACAAAAAAGAAGCGAGGAAACATAAAAGAACATACACAGTGACGATGTTTGTTTTTTACTGATGGTCAATAAAAACACCATAATCACGGTTTTATAGCAATAACATCAACCATCTTTTTGTCAGTTGACAAAAAAGAATTTTATTATTTTTTGCAAATTGTGAAGCAATTTTGATTGCACATTTTTTTCTAAACTTAACAGGTATTTTCATATATAATTATAATTTGACATTTGTCACAAGTACATACACATAAATACATATGTGATGCAATAGTGTGTGCAACTGTTTATGCTCATTCAATTCAGTTCAATTCATTTGCACTTACCCTTTGAGTAATTTGTAGAGCATACATCCTAGAGAAAACCAATCAGCGCTGGAATCATAAGCTGTGCCCTTTGACAGCACTTCGGGCGCCATATAGCCGTGTGTGCCTCTGGTAGTGGTAGTGAGCACAAAAGAAGATACAAATAATCATTTATTTCAATAAATAGAAAAAGGCAAATGTATTTAAATGTATGCACAAATCAGACTCATTGACTTACACTGATGCATGAGGCTTCTTTTTTGAAAAGTCACACGCTAAACCGAGATCAGATATTCGCACGTGACCGTGCTCGTCGAGAAGAATGTTTGCAGGCTATACGGAAACAATTGAAAATAATAAGGACAATGAAGTTAATTGGGTCATCAGCAGTTCACCTTTAAATCTCTGTAGACGACAAAACGCCGGTGCATGTGCTCCAGACCGAGGATGACCTCTGCTGCGTAGAATCTCATCTCATGTTCGGTGAAAACTCCGTGCTGACTGAGGTGGTAGTGAAGGTCGCCGCCGTTCATCAGGTCGAGTATGAAGCACAGCTTGTCAGGCGTTTGGAAGGCGTAGGTCATGCAGACGATGAAGGGACAGTCCTCTCCGGTGGACACCAGACTGAGCATCACACGTTCGTTCAGCGCCAACGTCTCTCCCTGTTTCATTTTGATGCGCTTTTTATCGAGACACTTCATTGCGTACATTTTCCCTGTGTCGGCCTTCCGACAGCCGTACACCTCGCCAAAGCCTCCTCTGCCAATGATTCGGTGCACGCTAAAGTCGTTCATAGTGAGCTGTATGTTCAACTCGAGGTTCTTCCATTGGCAAAAACGGGTATATTTATCACTAGGTTTTGTAGTGTGAAATAATTGAAATTAAAGTTAAATTACTTGGCAAACAAGTCACAACGCGATTAGTGTGCGGTACCTTTCAATAAACTTTCGGAAAATGTCCCCTCTGAGGTGGCTGTAAATTTCGTCAATGTACGGTTGGAAGAGCGTCACCGGAACTTCGTTTCGCATCAGGTATTTTTGTACATAATTTACAGAGTCTTTAGAATAATTCTGATCGAAAAGTAAACATAAACAAAAAAGTTGAAGTGTGAGAAAAATTATTAAAACACACAGGACATTTTTTGTTGTCTTTCTCAACAGCCACTCTCTTGAAGCTTGTTAAACCAAAGCAGAGAAAATTACATTGTCAGTAGTGGCGCAAACAATAGACCGAGACTATCGCACATAAAAGCTCAATTCCCTAGCCGACTTGCTGTCCTGCTCAGCTGCGTTTCAAAACAACACGTTAAAGAGGAGAAAAAAACGGGAGAGCAAGAGTGAAATTCAAATTAACTTCCACTTCATTGGAGGAATATAGGCATGGCCAATTTCAATTGCGCTCCAGAAACTCTTTCCTCGGCAGGCGCCAGCAGGCAGAGAAGCTGAATAGTCCATTCAGCTGGGCCACAGCTAATCAAATGGAGGGGAAAGGGGCAAAGTCTTAAGGAGCAAGCCTTTCCTTTCTTATAATAAAAGTCTATTTTCAAGCTTTTAAGGCCTACTGTACTGACAGTTCAAGAGGTTTTCTGAATTTTGTTTTGTTTTCAACATAAAAGAGCCACTCAAAATGCTTTTGAAAACGACCGATTTTTTTTCTCAGTTCACTATTTTTAATTGAAGAAACTCTTCATTTTCAACATCTACAGTATAACCAAAAAAATTTCTTTTTTTAAAAAGTAAATCACTGCCTTTAAAACTTTAGTATTGAAAAAAATTAAATTTAAAAACTTTTTGCCTTTAGGCTAAAACACAAGACATTTTTAAAATAATTTTTTAAGTTTGCTTTTTCAAACTAAATGTACTTTTTGCTTTTTTAATACTTTAATAGATAAATCAAATAAAAAACAGGAAATTCAAAAGCAAAAAGTCCAATAAAAACTAGTATGTCCGCTTATATCAAATACCCAAAAAGAAAAGCAAAGTAAAATAAACATAAATCAAAATATAAAAAAAGCAATGTACAAAATACAAACTTTGAATTTAATAAGTACATAAAAAATCACCTTTTGCACAAAAAAAATGAAAAATTATCAAAATAAAAACTAAAAATATTGATAAAAATCAAAATGCATTTTCAGTAAAAAAAAGAAAATGAAATATTGTCGCTCATTTCCGTTCGCAAACACTGCTGTGCAGTAAACTAAACTTTGAGCGGTAATTTACAGTCAGCTGGCGCCAAAATGATTAATTAATTAACTACTGTACTTTGACAAAAACACAAAAGAACGGTCTAAACAACACTGGTTGTTTACTATACTCTATTTATTAAATTGATAAAATTTACTTTTAAAAAACAATCTTAATTTTGTACACTTACATGCGTATGAGAAAGAAGTTCTTTCATTATAAAATTGTCATATATTTCTCGTGCCGCTTGCCTCCTTTCTTCCACAGTTTCAAGTTTCTCATAGCGCTTTATCTAAAATATAGTTATTAATCGGTTAGATAAGAATTTATCACAATTTTAGTTATTACCTCTTCGTAGAATTTGAGCTGCGGCACAGATTCATCACAGACATTCTCGCAAAAATCACGAAAGGTAAGAAATCCTTAAAAAATAAAAAAAAGTAAAAAGTTATTTTTTTGTATTACAAAAAATGACCGAAAATAAAAACGTTACTTACCTAGTTTTTGATTGAATATTTTATCGAATGTTACATCGCCGTTTTTCTCAAGGTACTTGTGCATGACGCTTCGTACACTGTTAAAAAACAAAAATAGCAAATGAATCAATTTTGGCTGCATTATATGACGGTGATAAAACATCAAAACTTTATATCCTTAAATATTATAATCTATTCCCACACTTAAACCTTTTCTTTGTCAGCATTATGAAAATCCTAAACACAGTGCTAAATTCGCACTTAAATCAAGTTGCAGTATTACCAACTAGTTTATTTGTAATGCCGAGCATTCCAATGCAATCTGCAACACTCTCTTTGGGGATGATATCATTACGGCTCTTTTCATTTTAGGTCTCGGAAAACTGCAAACCAACATTTTTTCCCTGTTCTCAGTGCTCATTGTCCAACTTCAGACTTCAGCAAAATGAATCCATAAATAATACATCGCTGTTCGTTGCACAAACAAAAACAGACAAACAGTCAGAAGAGATGGTCTTCTTTTGCATAAATTGTACCATCACCACCAGCCAGAGCATCCTACTCGATATCTTCCCATCTTCTCTTGCCATAAATAATGTACAGCATTATTAAGCCGCATTGACCATCTCTATCACTTTCACTTTGACTGTTTTTCAGTTTTCTTTTTTTCCTCCTGCTTCTCCTTTTCCTCTTGCTTTTCATCCTCTTTTCAATGAGCCCCTATTTGGACAAAGCATTGTGCCCATTTGCCGCCACTTTGCCGCTAGCTTGGCAATCATTTAAATACTAAAAAGTGTATTCTTTCTAATACCACCATGACCACCGTCCCTTACGCCCCATTAGATATGGTGCATCCTCGAGAGGAGACGACTAGGCATGGCCAGCAGCACATCACTTGCGCCACTCTTTCCTGTTCTCGCAGTTGAGTGCTTGTGTTCGGCAGTGTACAAACACAGAAGCAAATGAAGCAAGAGAGATTGCGGAGTACTGTCTGGACAGCAAATGATAACGACTACCGGGGAAACATATTAATAAGGTGGTTGCAGTTGAATGAAAAAGTCCATTTGCCAAAAAAGAAGACAATTTGCTCGACCAACTTTGGACTTGCTTGCTCCCCTGACTGACAACACAGATGAACATGAAAAGAGCAAGAAAATTGCAAAGTGCTGTTCAGATTGCATAAAAACATTTTTCTGAGTTAAACACCACACACACACTTTTTTAGATTGCTAAAAATGTAATGCAATGATAAAAACCATCTTTGTGTGAGGCAATGGTTGATAATTAAAGAGTGTGTACTCCCACTGATCTACTGGTGATGAGAACACACTTGCGCTGTGTTAGGTCAGAACGGTGTCCTGTCCTGGTTCTATGTGTTCAGTTGATGTATTATTTATAGCATTTTTATGAACTACTACCAAGAAAAGTAAAAGGGAGAGAGAGAGAGAG